TTGTAATTGTGTTGCTGTGCGTGACTGCTGTACTTGTGCTCATGGTGTTATCTGAAGCTGGCATGGTGGTTGTGTTTGTTGTTCCACTTGAACCACCAGTTGATGGAGGATGTGTTGGGCTACTGGTGGTCTCGGAGTCTGTGCTCGGTGAATTTGAGCTAGCTGTTGAAGTTGTGTGAGTCGCCAGTGTACCATCTGGCGTTGTCCCACTGGTGGCAACATTTTGTGTGACGGCCATTGTTGTCAGTCCTATAATCAAAACAAAAGCACAAAAAAAGTCAGTGGTTTTCAGTCTGATAGCACAAATTTTCAATAGCTACAGTAAACCAAAACTGTAAAGATGAAGGCTGTAAAACCAAAACAAGGAGCTAAAAGATGCAATAATGCTCTATGAAACTGTGCACAGAGAAGCCTCTAGTCTCCGATCAGGTACTACAGCACAGCAGCTCAAACAGCTGTGACACCAAAAATTGATTTGAAAAGAGTGAAATAAGGTGTTCCAATATCGGATTTACCTAAGCTGAAATCAAGTGATACCATCTACCTGGCCTGTTCTCCGTGAGCAGATTTTGTCTGTTAAGAACATAGTATTCTAAGCATCATTAAAGCCTTGTTCATCCAACTGTTTGAGGCCAAATGATTAATATTCGATGAACTGTGAAGCCCTAATACATGCTAATTAGCTTGGACAAATAATTCATGAATTAGCAAAAATTTCCATATCAATATACTTGTCTCCACATGTTCAAATTCACAGCAAATGGAAGGTATGAATATTAACAAAGTCTTCAAAGTACAATTAGATCAACTCTTCACATGACACCTACAGTGCAGATTATGTTCCTGTAATATTTAGTTATCTTGAAAAACGGACAGACCACAAAAATAAACAGAACCATCAAAATGAAGCAAAATAATATTTAGTGTTTTTATCAAGTAAAAATACTGGTGAAATTATATTGTATTATATATGTTGGATTCATCAGGGTTCTAAAATAATAAAGGTGCAAGTTACATCGTCTATCACATTTCTGCTCACTGTGGGCTCATTTTTCCACTCCAATTTTAAGTCCTGCACCCTTATGGAAACAGCACAATTATGACTAATAAAAAATGTCTTTTGTGCAGTCTGACATAGTTATGATGGCACAGATCATAAGTAGAATTTCTTCTGATTTCTGAGTATTTATTTATTAAAAATTGAGCAAAAATGGAGTCAACGTGTGCAACATTTTTCCCTACAGGTGTTTCAAATACTGGAAAAAATGGGGCGTTTACAGACTATAGATATTACACAACTTAAATTTTTATTTTGTTTCCATACGCAGCCTGCAGTTCAGCAAAACAGTCCCAGAATTGTTATCGTGTGACTATTGACTGCAGCTGACTCACCAATGGCTTCTTAGTAGAGCTGCACAAGTTTTTGTTCAGGATCACAGTTTAATTTTTGCAATAAAAAAAGAACTATAGAATAAAGGGATTCTGATTAATTATCATGCATTCATGCTTAGATTTAGTTAATTTTCCCAACAGAACTGGAAGCCACACATGAATTTGACAGTTGGAGAACTGAATATCCGACAATTTTGTTTGTTTTTTAAAGTTTCTGCCTCTGATCTGGATTTCAGCTTGTTTCTGAGATAACATGTCTTTCATACATGCTGTTCCTTTGGGGTTTCAGAGTACTTGTATCTGTTATTATCTCAGTTTATTTATGTGAAATCTCTGAAAAACACCCCTTTGTAAAAGATTATAAGCACTAATAGGTCACTCTCAACTCTGAATACATATTCTTGGCTTTGTCTTGGTGGAGGGAGTTTAAGTTGCAATCACAGAGGTCAATGCAGTCGTGTCTTTAATAAACATTTAACCTTTAGTGGGTATTGAAGTGGACAGAAGGTGTAGCTCAGCAGATAAGAACGACTGCAAGTGACGGCTGTTTACAACACAGAAAAGTGTCACCGACTGGCTTTGAACACCTCAAAGGAAAGAGCTGCAGACCTTCTGTTTGTTCAGTGTGCTGTTGCGACGCCTGTTCCCACTTAGCCCGCTAACACTCTCCACTTTTAGTTTATGGGGGAAATGGAGGAAGCCGGAGGACAGCCGGAGGAGGAGTACAAACAGTAGGAGGTTTTTGATAATGGTGTCTCAGCCCGTTTACTTCAGCTCCTCATCTGTATGCATTGAAAGATTGCATTAGGCAATATTACTACCAGGAGCCAGATAGATGGACACCTTCCACAAACAGCTCCCTCCTGTAAGTCATCTCCAAGGCACAAGGAAGTGGTGGGGGGAAAAAAACAAAATCATGATTTATATCAGAGCCTGAACTTGATTTCATTATTTTCCGTGCGCACAAAGCCCTGTGTGACCTAATGTCTTTATCACTTAGTAACCGAGACTCATTTAGAGATGAAAAACCGCAGGCTCTCTCCTGCACACTGTGTGACAGCAGCTTTTTATGGATATGATGTACTCAATGTACACACACATACACGCCCTGA